AGTTAACGATGTTTCATATGTTAGAAGTATTGGAAAATCCGACGTCAATATACTGAAATACAGGTAAGATCAGGTATTCTTTTATTCTTGGGCTTTGTTTCTAGCTTCTTCTTTTGATAAGTTTAATAAGCCAAGAGATATTGAGACGAATAATGAAGGAATATTAGGAGAAAACGACGAACGTCTTGGACCCTAGTCAGTGACTCTTGCATGTGCATTTCACCAACCATAAACCTGTATTGGACCAAGAGAAAGCATATAATGGAACAATGTGCCAGCTCGTGTGTACACGAAGAAATAAGTTTTGACTTCATGGAATAATGGTATCAATCATCTCGTATCGTGATCCATGATTCCTTTCAAAATTTTGGAAAAGCCTACATCAATGTTCGAGACTCGGTTGAATTTCAGCACTGCATTTTATCCTCAAATTGATGGTCGATCTGAGCATACAATTCAAACACTTGAAAGATATGTTGCAGGCATGCATATTTAATTTCCATGGAGATTGGATGAATGTCTACCCTTGGTTGAATTCTTATACAAAATAATCCTACAATACTAGTGGTGTTAGAGCATTGATTTAGATGACTACAATTAATAAGTCCAATTAAATTATTCATCTGATCTTACTATTAAATAAATTATCATTTAATATTACTTAATTGTCACGTAGATTAGTGCTTAGCATCAATGAGACCAAAAAACATTACTCTTCTTCTACAACAATATCTTTCTTCAATTAACATGCTGCCATTTGAAGCATTTTATGGGTGAAAGTGTCATTCACCTCTTTATGGGCATCGGGTTTGAGTTTGGTAAAAATCGAGTTTTAGGACAGAAAACGGTACAAGAAGTTAAACAGACCATGAAGTTTATTTTTGAGCCCAAAGGGCCCTTTTGATAAGCTAAAATGGGCTAGCAGTAGTAGGAGGTAAGAACATAAATTACATAATTGACATTATCTGTAACCTTTACTATGTAACATTATTATAAGTAGGAAGAAGCTGGTCAATGGTGATCGTAATCTTGCTGGCTTATTTTCTCATTTTAAATTATGAGAACTTTGAACCGAAACATAATCAATTAATTTAAAACTAACACGCAAAGAAAAATTGAATGTCTTATATGTTGAACCTTTATCTTATATAAATTGAATCATTATATAGAAGTATATAGAAGACTGATTGCTTCAGAATTTTATTGAAAAAGTAAGAAAATAAATGAAATTCAGATTTCCAGGCATAATGCACTTACAGAGAAAACGTCATGACAATGTAATTCCAGGAGGAATAAATCCTCAGCCAACTATTTATAGAAAAAAATTATATTGCTATACAAAATGAAAATAATTAAATTCATTAAACCTCTCTCATTCAAGTTTATATTCATCCTCTTCTTTACTCCCTTGCTCAGAAGAAAACAAACTCCTCACGGATGTCAACACGACGTCGTTGAAGCACTCAAACAGTCCACAGCACTTCATCTTAATCCTCCGGAAAAAAGACCCGCGTTCTACATCCTCATACGCCGTCATCATCGGCTGTAGGTATGCCCAAGCTGCATGTTGCACCAGCGGATCCTTGATGGATATCTCCCGCCAGCTGTCTTTCCGAGTCGTTGACGGCGACATAATAGACGGCGTCGACTCCGGAAGCAAATCCTTCAGGCTAGTGTAACTCAAACACTCATCGTGAGTATCCATCTTAAAATTGAGCTTGATTACTATCGCCGATGGCGTTGACTGAGAGGACGCTTTATGGAAAGATAATCTAAATTAATTGAGAAAAATTCCATATTAGAACTGGCATAAGACTATGTCTATTATTAACGATTCATAATTAGGATTTCATTTTTAATTGTAACACAATTAATAGAGAACTTCCTTCGTTATAGAGAGAGATAGAGACCGGAAAGAGGGAGAATTCTTGACAGTGAGAACATCTTTTGCATGTGTGAGAGAGAGAGAGAATGGGGTCCACGCACAGGAAAATGTCATATATTTAGGACGCGTGTAGCGTTGTGGTTCAGGTTGGCGCCAGGCCGCGTTGGGTAAATTTGTCTATAATGTGATGACAGTTAAGTTTTTGGGGGTGATTTGTGAATTGTTGGGTGTCAGCATGAACGTCTTCTTCACTTTTAGTAGCTTCACAATTAGTGTGACAGTCGGTCAGATTAGCACGTTAGGTGCATGTTGACTCACTGCACTTATTGTTAATAAGTAATCTAAATAATTTAAGTGCAAAATTATAATTATAAGTATCGGCCATAAGGCCTGAGCCCAAAAAGAACTTATTTGATTACAAAATAAAATAAAATATAATTACCATAGTTTCAAGAAACACTTCTTAGATTTATCAAGGGAAAAATGGGATCAAAGAGTTGCTGCTTCTCTGCGCTTTGGTTGGCTCTTCAAATGGTCAACAATGGTGAATAGCATTGTGGTAATTGATGCAAGTTCTCCATAGATAAGGTAGTAGACACACTTTACTGTAAAGGTTCCTTGTTCATTAATAGAATAAGGGTATCTGTTATCAATTTGACTGGTAACACTTATCACTTCCTTTCCTCTCTTGGGAGTAGGCTTTGGAGACACCACTCTTTTATGAATGAAACTTAGAAGCCATAAACTATAAAGCATAGTTTCTTAGTCATCAATAGCACAACTAAGGAACAAGGGGTAAGCCATGAATCTATTCCAATTGTTCGTCTACTAGGATAAATAAACTCTACTGGAGATTCTTTACTAAAACGTGGAAAAATCATCATCTACATCCCAAAGTTGAAAATATCCGCAAATGTATTCTATTTATGAAGTATTTATTGTTGAAAATACTCCCTTAGGGAGAGAGAGTATCAATGTTGGAACATAAGGTCCTCAAAAAGTGTGGAATGAATATGGTAGAGATTAATCGGCAAACACGTAGTAAGGGTGCAGTTTGGAGGGTCTTTAATTCATTGGTCCTAATTTAATGCATTTCGAGTCCTTAGGTGGCTCTTACGTAGAGGGTATTAAGTTACAATGGTGTTCCTCCATGGCATAGATAAGACGAAGTTGATGGTCCCAAGGTTAGCTTTCACGGCTATCTAAAAAAGGAGTCAATTTTCGAGCATATCTCGCTTTACTAGCGAGCTATCGTTATCAAGACATCTAATATGAATAGCTATTTCATTTAGGGGCTAGCTATATGTAACAATTCTGTGAGCAACGATACATGTGGAATCTTTCTGATCCATCTATTAATTAAATACGTTACGATCAAAATAATATATAATTTATTATCACAATTACATATTAGTTACAAATCACACAATACACAATCACAAAGACAAAATGTGAATCATAATTACAAATTTAGTCACGAATCACACATTTTTATAGATCACAAATTATTTATCGCCCAAATAATTGGTTACAAATATCCTTCACCCTACACCACTCCGCTCCACCATCGGCACTACCTCAATTTCCCTGCCATACTGCCATCTGACCAGTCACCACCACCACCACTTGCACCTTCCCTACATCTCCACCCATAGATCTATGCATAACAATTCACCACCCTACAACCACCAACACCATCATCCAATCACCATCATTGCCACCTCAGATTCACAACCTACCACCACCTCCTCACCAGTGCAACACAACATTCACTGCATCACCATTCACCGTACATCACCACGCAAATCTGTACATAGCAACACACCACCACACAAATCTGTACATCACCACTAGCACCACCACAACATCTGTCCATCACCACACAAATTTGTACATCACCACTAGCACCACCACAACATCCACCACAACTATCCATCGCACTATAGAAAGACAAAGCTATACCCACCTAATAGAAGGAGTAAAAGAACTTACAGAGTTGGAATAGGAGAAGAGGACAAAGAAAATGACGAGTAATATGAGCGACAGGAATTTGATAGCTAAAGGTATTACCGAATTCGGATCCGCTGTTAGGACCGATTCCCCCTTCCTGGTCCGCCATCGCCATAAGAATTAGATTTTGACACCTGGCCAATAGGGAAAGCCACATCGCCCCCTGTTTGGACAGGGCCTTGTTCAAGTACCAGTGTCCATAAAAATTACCTGTATATATTTATATAAATTTTGGCGATCGTATCCGTATATATAAGTGATTGGTCAGAGGTCCGACCCACGTTGCAACTGTGGTTTTTTTGTGAAAAATTAATTTTTGACAAAGTCTCTTAATCAGAACATAATAAAAAACAACAAGAAGATGTTATTTGTAACATGTAGTTTTGTTGGTTGGTTAATTGGGCAATTCAATTAAAGATTAAGTCATCTGTATATTATAATGAGAATTGATTAAACTTTTGATATACTGGCACTGAGTGTCAATTAATAATTTATAATCAAGTTCAAACAAAAATAATTGATATGCTTATTCAAATCATTAACAGAAAGATTCCAGCTTTTTGCACCCAAGTACGTTTTCTGGTATTTTCAACTATCAATTGAGGAAAAATTTCAGGACATTTCACCTCCAAAGATATCACAATTTATATACGCAACAAGTCATACATACAACTAAAAGGTCTATGTCATACTTTACATTTCTACTTATAGTTGTAATTATAAGCAACTTAAAAACACGTCAACTTATAAGTACACGAGTACTTCAACGTTGCATTCATTGATTTTTACAGGCATATTAAGATTCTTTCATGTTTTTGCTTATAAAAACACGTCAACTTATAAGTACACGAGTACTTCAACGTTGCATTCATTGATTTTTACAGGCATATTAAGATTCTTTCATGTTTGCGAGAGCTAAGTAGTATTTTTCCATAGCTTGACATGTGTCATTGCAAATGGATGATTCTAGACTTTTGGTTATCAAGTAACCAATGAATCCCAATTGTAAACGGTACAAAATCGACAAGATAAGTCTTATTTATTTTTAAACCCTAAATCTATGCCACGATATTATTGCTATATTGTGCACGCAAAAGTACTTGTATTAATCAAATTAGTAAGTCACTTACCATACAACTACCAACCAAACTCTCATAAATTATTATTATTTTAATTAATTATTTGATAACACTTGAATATAACGTCTTCCACTCTTTTGGTACTAGAGAAATGAGAATTAGATAGGTCATATCAGGAATTTTCCTATAATACACATCTGATTATAAATAAAAGTATAATGTAATATGCTTGCTATATATATTTGGTACAAGGTAACATGTCATGTATATAGTAATTAAGCACATAACTTCAGCTGGAAAAAAGTAAATATTATTTTATTGAGAAGCATATGATGTTGATATTTTTTTTTTCAATTGTTTACATTAGGTTTGTAACACGACTAAGAATTTAACGATGTCAAAATGATGTACGAGTACACCTCCCCGCCTTACCAACTTTTAATAATTAAGTAACGGCATCCCAATTCTCACTTACTTGTCTTGTTAGGTTTTTTGATACCCAATAATCCGGACGAATGACTCCGTTTGCTCTGTGAGTGGTGTGAGATTGTGGTAGTAACGATAAGAAAATTAAAAGTAACGATAAGAAAAAAAATTTCATCAATATAATTAAATCAAATATCACTTACTTGACGACATGCAATTTTGGCATATTTATCTTGTAGTCGAAAATGATCGTCCTGCCAATCCTTTAACGCTTCTAAAATATCTTCTTTCAGTCAATTCCTGATCTTGCTCAAAACTCTTTTACCTACACTAAAAGCAAACTCCGAAGCAACAGTGTTAATTAGAGGTGTCAGCAGATCTTTTGCAATCGTAAATATAACTGGCCAACGTCGTTCATACCTTCGCCATAATTAAATTACTTCGTCCGAACTTTTTTTAATTGTTTTATCTGTTGTCATGTTATGGTTGAAATAATCAATTAATTCAGCAGGCAATGCATTATGGTTTAAGCCCGTAGATGTTTGATGAGAATGAGATACATATGTAGATGACATGGGAGTGACAGTAGATGAACACATTGCAGATGAATCATATCTATACGAATTAATGCCTTGAAATAAATTAAATATTTCCGCATCTTCTTTTTCAATTTCAGCGGAAAGAGTAGGTACATATGGTACCTAACTAATATTGGTACCCATTCAGTTCGAATATAATTCATACATTTCACATAATGTTTGCTCTAAATTTTTATATGTGATAGGTGTATCAAATGTTAAGACGTTTAAAATTTGATCAATTATATATTTAGTTCTCGATAAATTATATCGGGAGTCCATCATGCATGTTAAAAGAAATAACATAGGCAAATCTTCTCAATATTTTCTAAATTTTAATTCCATAGCAATTATAATTTCACTAAAATTAGGGTCATTTTTGTATTTATGAAATGTTCTTGCAATTATATAAAGACGTTCAAGCACCATACAGCTGGTGGGATAGTAAACGTCCGATAAAATCTTAGTGATTTCATAAAAAGATGTCAAAAATCTTTTAACTTTCAAAGCTATTTGCCAATCACGTTCAGTCAACATACCCTCGTCATCACTGCTGACATGTCTATTGTTATAAAAGTCAGTTATTAAATGTTCAAAACATTCACATGACTTTAATAACAAGTAAGTAGAGTTCCACTTATGACCTCCGTCGCTAACAAATGTTTTATCATTTTGCATTCCTATTTCGGCACAATAATCCTCAAATGCTTGTTTTTTGCTTGGGGAGATTATGATATATATTAGTGCGTTCCTAATATTTTGAAGTTCATCTTTATATGTTTTAAATTATTTTGGACAATTAAATTCAAAATATGACATACACAACGAATATGAAACAAATACTCACCAAAATCAGGTTGCAGTACCCTATGTAATTTATCGGCAACTACTTTATTAACACTAGCATTATCGAAAGTAAATAAACGAATTTTACTTTCGCAATGATATTCTCTAACAATACTTATAATAACATTAAATATATTGTTAACGTTGTGAGGAAACTCAATAATTTTAAAAGCAATAATTTTTTATGCATGCACCAAAATGGGTCTATATAATGTGCAGTTGCAGCTATATATGCTATTTTATTAATCCATTCCCATATATTCGAAGTTAAAGATATGACACCCCCATATTTTTGCAAATCCATAATTAATTGTTGTTTTGTTTCAATAAAATATTGTATTGTATC